GAAGAAAAGACCTAGCGATCTGCTCCCATAAAGACTACAGCCTGGGAAACCCTAAGCGGGAGTTGTACCTTGTCCTACAGTGTTGCTATGAGTCAGAATTGACTCCATGGCACACAACCACAAACATGCTACTAACCCTTTCTGGGTGTCATTTGTCCCATAATGTTAAAAACTGATTACCAGTCACAATGTAATGTTCATATAAAAATTTCCAGACTCTGTTCCCCCAGAGCTTAACAATACATGGTCTTGCTATATTTGTTTAAAGCAAAGTTAGACCTCATGGTCGATGCAGCTATACCAAACCAAAACCAAACTTAACTGCCATCGAGTCGATTCCAACTCATAGTGACCCCCATTGGGTTTCCAAGGCTGTAAATCTTTACAGAAGTAGATTGCCCTATCTTCCTTCCACGGAGTGGCTGGTGGGTCTGAACTGCCAACCTTCTGGTTAGCAAATGCCTTAGGCACTGATAAAATATATCAACATTAACTTTTATCAAGAGATAGAGAGCTATTGGCTGTATCACAAACATAATAAAAATGATGAAAAGGAATATTAAAATTTGAAGTCACTTAAGCATTTGGTTAAGGGTACATAAAATTGAAATATAATGATTCTAAAAAGGAGCCCTGGCAGTGCAATGGTTAAGTGCTCAGCTGCTGACCAAAAGGTTGGCAGTTTGAACCCACCAGCCACTCTATATGAGAAAGATGTTGCAGTCTGCTTCTGTAAGATTACAGCCTTAGAAACCCTGTGGGGCACTTCTGCTGTGTTCTACAGGGTCACTATGAGTTGTAATCAACTCAACGGCAATGGGTCTGGTTTTGGGGGGGTTTGGAAAGATCTTTAAACCAGGTGTTAATTCACCATTCTCTGCATGGCAATCAGTTTACCTAAGAGTGCTCTATTATAAAAAAAAAAACTAATAATAATAACTTACTGAGTATATTCTTTGTACCAGACACTGTTCATGTTGTTGTTGTTGTTATGTGCCATCGAGTCAGACCCTACTCATAGCGACCCCTCCTTAGGTTGCCGAGGCAATATTACTACGGAAGTAGATTGCCCAACCTTCCTTCCGAGGAGTGGCTAGTGAGTTTGAACCGCCAGCCTTCTGGTTAGCAGTCAAGTGCCTTAGGCACTATGCTACCAGAGCTCCTAGACAGTGTTCATAGCTATTCTAAAGTAAGTACTATCATGCATATTTTACACATGGAAAAACTGAGGGCCTCTCACCCTTAAACTCTGTGATATAGGCCAGAGGTTGGAGAAGTATGGCCCAAAGGCCGAATCTGGCCCTCCACTTGTTTTTGTAAATAAAGTTTTATTATAACACAGCTATGCCCATTTGTTTACATGTTGTCTATGGTTGCTTTTATACTACAAAGGCAAAATTGAATAGTTGTGACAGAGATCACATGGCCCACAAAGCCTAAAATATTTACTATCTGGCTTTTTACAGAAAAAGTTTGCCAACCTCTGTTAGCAACTTTAAACTCAACAGAGATATTGGACATTGGGAGAGGAAGAAATAATGGTTATAGTAACACCACCAGTTGCCATCAAGTTGATTCCAACTCATGCCAGCCCCATGTATGTCAGCAGACAGTAGACATACATGCTCAATGGGGTTTTCAGCATTTACAGTAGGTTTTTACATAGTCATGTCATTTAACTCTCATCACAACCCTGAGAATTATGTAAGGCCTATTTTATTTCCGTTTTAGAGATGAAGAAACTGGGATTAAACACATAAGAAATTAAACACATACCATAAACTAGACAGTCAACTGAATGAGTCTAAGGACTGGGTGTCCTTTTCACCACATCCCCATCACCTACGACCAGCTGGGTCAGAGTGGGCACTCAGTGAACTCAATGAACAAGAGTTGTAAAGGTCACCCTGGTGGGAACTCAAGTCTCCTCTGATTCTGGGGTTCTTTCTCCTGATGCCACAGTTGCCTGGCAGTGAATAGAGGGATACCTGTGTGATAGAATTAAACACAGGGTAGTTGATCTACTATGGATTGACACATTTTTGCTGTATTTTCCTCTTCCTCTTCCTCCTTCTTAGTCATAAACTGTCACCTCAGTTCAGACCAAAGGACTTTTTTGTCCCCTCAAATGCAAGGTGACACCCTTGAGAGTTTTCTTGACCTTGTGATTGATGCATTTTTGGACAAGATTGAAACAGACACCCTCATGTGATGGTAGTCACACGGAATCTGGGATTGGGTTGGATTTTGGTCTGAACCTCACCCCTCCCTCTTCCCATCCCCTGACTCCCCCACACCCAATGATAAGTCCCTGTGCAGGGCAGGGAACCACTCTGGGCTTTGTTTTCTTTCCTCTTGCTTTATACTGGTCATGGGAGGCTCAGGGTATTAATAGACCCTCGGCTCACCTCCTGAATCTCACTGTTGGTCAGAGAGATAGAGAGAAGGTTTGGCCCATCCCTTTATGCCATTTCTCCTTCCTCTTCTGACTGTCATGTGCTGGTTGGTGGCAGAGTTGATCCAGACAGGCAGAGGGCATTCTGTGTAGTCACTACCCATGAATGTGACCTCTGCTGATGTTTTGACTTCTTGCCTGTCTTAGCAGGCCTGTAGTCAGCCCCTGACTCCCAACTTTGGGTCCCCAGTACTAATCTTAACAAGTGAGCCTCAGCCTTTTCTCACCTTCTCCAGATCAGGCAACCACATCTCTCCTTGAATGTGAGGACGATACATAAGCCTGGTTTTGGTTTTGTTTTCTTTTTCTAATGTAAAGTAAACTTATGTCCAATTTTCTGGAGCCATTGAGGCTGGAGGAACCTCTGAAACTATTGCCCTGAGATAATCTTTAACCCTTAAACCAAAAATCTTATTTACCAAGCAATAGATGGCTTAAGTAGTAAAGAATATCAGCCTTTAACACTGCTTTTTTCAAGAACTGTCTATATGGGACCAAATTGACAACAGCCACTTGAAGGGCTAGATAGGAAGCTTGAGGGGACAGTGAGTTTATGTTAATGGGGGAGGAACAATTTGGAAAAGGAGGGTGAAAATGGATGCACAACTTAAAGAATATAACCAAAGTCACTGAATTGAACATGTAGAAATTGTTCAATTGGTTATATTTTGCTGCACCTATTTTCAGCAACAATAAAAAAAAATGATGTCCCCAAAATTAACAATCTATACATGGCTTGCCAGCCTCCTACAGGACTCCATGGGGGCAAATTTTTTAGACACATTCCTTGTAAGCAGAAGTGCCCTAAATTACTGGGGCTTTGATCCAAAACTTTCTGGTCTCTTCTGTAGCCCAATGTTTAACCATTTCACTTTGCTGGTTCTCTCTTGCTCTTGGGTCCAGCACCCAGAATAATTTAATATTCAGTGTTTATTTTCCTTGAAGTGGAAGTTGGGCTGGGGTCTGACAAGGAGAGTAAACCCCCCTGCAAAGTTTTGAGCAGCAGAGATTCAAATTTTAATGTCAAAGAGGGAACCTTCGTTTTCTGCATCAAGGTAACTTTATAACTATGGTCGGGGGCTGGCAGTTTCTGATGAAATTAATGGCATTCATTTTATAGAAACCTCTTTTGTTTGATAGCCCTTTGAAAGCATGAGATGTGTCCTTCATTTTCCTGGGTTGAGGACTCTGTTGAGTCGTCTTGCTGGTGTGGGGTGGTTGGTAACATTTTCATCTTTGGAGCCTCATTTTCTCATCTGTTGAGTGAACTGAACTAGATGATCTCTAAAACCCCTTCCCATCTGACATTTTATTTTTCAACCACAGAATCTTTGATTTTTATGAAAATCTTGCCCCATCTGTAAAGAATTTTGCTGTAGAAGGGAAGAAAGCTTGGCCTAAGAAGGCACTAACTTACTATCTTTATTTCTTTTCATTTGGGCATGGCGAAGAGTGGTAAGAATGGGATGTACTCTCTCAACAAACAAGCCAACTTTCATTTAGTACCTAATCAGTCCAGGCACTAGGGCAAGGACTGATGTGCATTCCCTCATTTAAAGCTCACGACAACCTTGAGGACTCTAAGTATTGTTAGTGCAGGTGAAGAAACCGGAGCACCAAGAAATATAGTAACTTGCCCATAGCCACAGAGCTGCTGAGTGGTCAAATCAAGATTTGAACTTAAGGCTAAGAGCTCCAAGAACCCAAGCTCTTAGCCAATATAGTATCACTACCTCTAAGTAGAAACATATATTTATGCTATGAAACAAAGCAAACCAGTTGCCGTCAAGTTGCCCACCTACAGCTCTTTGTGACCTCACGTGCGTCAGAGTGGAGCTGTGCTCCATAGAATTTTCAGGAAGTCAATCACCAGGACTGTCTTCCAAGGCATCTTGAACCTCCATCCTTTCCATTAGCAACCAAGGGCTTAAACATTTGCAACACCCAGGGACTCCATATACGCCATACTTCCTTGAATGTTCTCTCTCTTCTTGTAATTGGCCTCTTTCTCCAGAAAGTTAAGTGCAAAGAGAGGTTCTAATTAATAGACATTTTTACTGAATGCTGCATCAGTGGGTGTTACCTGGATAAGAATGGCCACTTCTTCAGGCAATACACATCACTGCTGAGCTTGTGCTGTTAGGTGCTCTGCAGGCAGTAGTGCCAGTGGGAGAGAAGTTCATGTGAGGGCAGAAGACTTCCCACTGGGGGTGCTTATGCAAAAGTCAAACATCTCGCAGGTCATGGGAGGTTTGGTTCCCTTCAGAGTATTGTCATTCCAGTTGCTGAAGTAGGACAAATAGAATGTTTGGCTAAAGCCAAAGCTCTCTATATTTAAAAAGAAAAAGGCCTTAAATGTTCAGCCTGATTCCTAGGTTTTGAATGACACCCATTTGTCTTTCACTCTCAGCGTCTCCTTTTTATTGCACTGGGGCTTTTTTTCTCCCCCGCCTCCCCCCAGTCTGTCATGTGACTCAAAAGTAAAGATTAGAAGAGAAAAATATCTCTGTATTCTAAGTCTAGCAACTTCTATTTTTATCCACAGCTGTTAGAACTGATAGCGAAGTCACAGCTCACATCCCTGAGTGGCATTGCCCAGAAGAACTTCATGAACATTTTGGAAAAAGTGGTACTGAAAGGTGAACTCTCTCACACTCTCTCACCCCTTCTTAAAGACATGGGGGTGGGGCGCGGACCTTCCGATAGAGTGGACATGGCATTCGATTTAAAGAAATGTGAGTGAATGGAAAGGCATTTCAGGGGTGCCAGATTCTAATTCAGAAAGGGTGCAACTCATGCCCGTAACACGGGGGGACCGTCACCCTCCTGTCCTTACATTGGGATGATCATCCATCTGGGACCCTTGCACACTTCTCACTGTAGGCACATGTCCTGGGCTTCTGAGCCTCAGGATTCCAAATTCATAGAAATCAAGCTGTGCAGAAGGCAGCATCAATTCATGAACTATTTGATCTAGAAGGAACCTTAGGTCTCTGGTTCAACCAAGTCATTGTACACATGGGGAAACTGAGGCTCGTGAGAGGAAGTGGGCACGAGAGGAGCAGAGAGTTAGGCAGACAGGAGGAGAGCCCAGGCTCCTGGCTCCAGGAGGTCTTCCTCCCTCCTTCCATATCCACAGCTGGGCAAAAAAAAAAAAACGCTTTCAGATCAGGTGACCCTTGGGTGCTGATGGAACAATGAGATGCGAACGAGGCTTTGTAGAAAGCTAAGGAGGAGAACAAAGACGGCCCTAGATCATGGACCCTCCAGCCATTCACTTTCTCCAGAGGGTAACAGCAGGATGGAGAGAAGTCCACTTATCAAATACAGCACGTTCCAGTATTATGACTGTTTGTTTTCCTTTCCCACTCTAGTCCTTGAGGACCAGCAAAACATCAGGCTCATAAGAGAACTCCTGCAGACTCTCTACACATCCTTGTGCACGCTGGTCCAAAGAGTCGGCAAGTCTGTGCTGGTCGGGAACATTAACATGTGGGTGTATCGGATGGAGACGATTCTCCACTGGCAGCAGCAGCTGAACAACATCCAGATCACGCGGGTAAGCGCGAGCACGCAGCTTCCTCCTAGCAGAGAGGGTCCTGGCGGTGCCCCAGCAAGGTGCTGGGCGGCTTCCCTGCGACCTTCAATCCCTGTGGTGATGAAAAGCCTGGCCTGTTCCGGTTCGATGCTCTCTACTGGGTGCTAAGGGTGGGCTGGGAGGCTTCCAGGTAAACGGAGGGTGGGAAGAACTTGGCAGATTAGCATCAAAGTATGTGAAGGATTGGAACATCGTGGGGAAATTGGAAACTTGGCATTTTGGGAAATGCTGAATTCTTGAGTGGGGTTTGGAGACCTCTCCTCTTTGCCCATTTCCTCTTGAAGAACTTGTTGTTCATACCTCCAGTGTTGTTGTTTGTGCCAACTAGTCAATTCTGACTCATAGCAACCCTATAGGACAGAATAGAACGCCCCGCAGGGTTTTCTAGACTGTGTGGGCACAGATTGCCTGGTCTTTTTTCCCCCTACAAAGCAGCTAGTAAGTCTGAACCACTGACCGTTGGTTGGCGGCCGAGTGCTTACCCATTGCACTACCAGGGACCCTTGATAGCTTTAGTAGGCTGCCTCAAATACAATAGAGCTGTGATGTCAGTGACTCGGGAACCTGGTATCAACCTTTCCGGATTCTAGTTTTACATATCGGTAGTGGTGACGAAGGAAGCCTTTGATTAAAGACCGGAACACGTATGTAGGAAAAGAGATGAGCAAATCTCACTCACAGCAAGAGTTTTAAAAAAGACCCTATATTCCCAGTAAGTGAGCCTCACTACCAGTAGTTTCTTTTGGTTTTCAAAGCATAGCTAAGCCCTCGTGTTTGCCATCATCTTAGTAAGCAGAGGGACTCGGGCCCACAAAAATGTGAGAAGGAACACTGGCGTAATCGCAGAAGGCTCACTAATGGACTAACGCTCTTCAACGGCTCACCTATCTAATCAGGGACCACGGCTGCTGCCCTAAGTGGTTTCCGGGACCGAAGCTGATAAAAGCTGGAGCTGCCCCATCTTGAGAAAGAATAGCATGAAGAAGCCCCTTTGACCTCTTTTAAATCATTATTTGATTATATAAAGTTTTTAATGCAGTGTCCTTGAGTTTCATATTAATAACTGCTCTGAGCCTTGGTTTCTTAAACCCTGAGACAGAAGAACAAAGAGAAGCCTCAGAGTTAGGTGATTTCCTTAGAGTAGCAGAGGCTGCAGCTCTCTCTCTCCCTCTCTCTCTCTCTCCCTCTTTCTCTCTCTCTGTCTCTGTCTCTCTCTCACATTTACTTACTCACTCACACACACACATACACAGCAGGACACAAGTTCAGGTGATCTTTCATAAAGCGTCTTGATGATTTGATTTATTATAAGAGAATGCGAGTACTTAGGGTGAATGTTTACTGGACCCCATTCCTATCTCTCAAGTGGGGGCAGAGTTTGACAATGTGAATTTGAGACCCAAATTCCCAGCTTATCTCTCACGGAAAATCCCCTGACACCTTCCACCAGAGTTCTGGCATTCCCTCTGTAGCCCGGGCTTCGTGTTACTGCCGTCTCTAAGCGTAAGAGAAAATTATCCAGCCAGTGATAGAAGTGGGCAAGTCCCATTTATCCCAAGGCCGTCCTCCCTCCAGCTCTCGGTCCATCTGCTTAGATGGCTGGGTTTCCCCCGACAGGGGCCCCCTTGGCCACATCTGCCCCCATACCTTGAACTTCCATAGAACCCGCATTAGCTGATCCACAAACATGTTTCAGAAGTGGGCATTATAGTTGCTATTACTCCTTAATGGGTGGGATTGGGATGAGAGCAAGGGTCAGAAAAGCCCAATGACTCCCCCAGGAATGAGGCCGGAACTAAGGCCAGAACCCGGACTCCTTATTCCTAAAATGGTGAGGCTTTCTTAACAGCAGTGGTTTCCAAACTTTTTTGCAATCCAGCTTTCTTCCAACTTTTTATCCAATGATCCAGCTTTTTCCAAACCTTTTTAATCCAATAAAATCCCATGTGGAATGGATCAAACACTGAAGTCCATTGCACTCCCCCTCTCTCCCTGTACCCAGCCAGGCCACCCTTTTCTGTGCACACTCCAAGCTTGTTCCTGCCTCGGGGGGCTGTTACGCTCGCTGATCCCTCTGCTCTGCCTGGAATATTCTTTCCGCTTAGCTTTGCACAGTTGACTTCTTCTTGACTTCTGGGACTCAGCTCAAATGACCCCTCACAGCAGCCTTCCCTAACCATACAGTCTAACGAAGCCACTATCAAGTCACCTTCAGAGCAGTTACTGCGATCTGAAGTTACCTCATAGGCGTATTCACTTTTCTGTTACCATCGATTGCTTATAAACTCCATGAGGACAAGGATGCTACCCATCTCATTCCCTGGTCTGTCCCTGGTACCTGTTGCACAGCATGAGGCATCAATACATTTTAGTTGAATGAATAAATGTTTGAAGGGGAGTCTCCTCTCACTGCCCACCTGGAAGTACTTGTTTCAAGTTCAAAGAAATAAAATTGGTAAATATCACCCTGTATTGTGAGTGCTAAGGAGCTCTGGTGGTGCAAATGGTTAAGGGCTTGGCTGCTAACTGAAAGGTTGACGGTTTGAACCCACCCAGTAGCTTCACAGAAAACAGACCTGGTAATCTGCTTCCACAAAGATTTCAGCCAAGAGCTGTTCTACTCTTTAACACCATGGAGTCACCATGAATCAGAAACCAACCTGATGGCAACAGATTGTTATGGATGATGATGGTAATTTACCAGCTATAGGACTTGGGGCAAGTTATTCAACCTCTCTGTGCCTCACTTTCCTCATTTGGAAAATGAGACAATAACACCTACCTCATAGGCTTGGTGTGAGACTTAGTACATGCACAGGGATATATAGAAAAGAAAAAAATATATGTATGACCATATATATATGACCCTTAACGAGATGGATCAACACAGTGACTACAATGGTGGACTTGGGCATGGCAGCGTTATGAGATCGTGAAGGACTAGGCAGTGTTGCGTTCTGTTATGCATAGGGACTCTATAAGTTGGAACCAACTCCACAGCACCTAACAACATATACAGAAAATACTTAGAACAATGTCTGACATTGAGTAAGTATTTTAAATATGTCAGCTGTTATTATTAAGGGCTTGCTCTGTAGCACACATTCTTCTAAGTGCTTTACATGTATTAATTAACTCACCTCATGAATAAATTGTTAAGGAGCTCTGGTGGTGTAGTGGTTACAGGCATTTGGCTCCTAAGCAGAAGTTCAGTGGTCTGAACCCACTAGCCACTCTGCGTAAGAAAGATGAGGCATCTGCTTCTGTAAAGATTGACAGCCTTGGAAACCCGATGAGGGTGGCAATGCATCGGGATTGACTCAACGGCAGCGAGTTTGGTTTGGTTTTTGAGCGAATAATTGTTAGTGGTAGTCATGACAACAGCTTATATTTCGGAGGCACCTGTGCTAAGTACCAAAGAGTCCTAGGAGCGCTGTGGTTGAAGCACTTGTCTGCTAACCCAAAGGCTGGCGGTTCGAACCCACCAGCCACTCCATGGGAGAAAGATGTGGCAATCTGCTTCTGCAAAAATTACAGCCAAGGAAACCCATATGAGGCACTTCTTCTCTGTCCAATAGGGTTGCCATGACTTGGAATCGACTCAACAGCAACAAGTGTGGGTGCCAAGGACTTATATACACGATCTTACCCACTGTGCCCAGCAACACTATAGGATACGTTTTTCCCCATTTTATAACCCACTGCCATCAAGTTGACTCCAACTCATAGCAACTCTTTAGGACAGAGGAGCACTTCCCCAGAGGGGCCCCATTTTCTGGATGAGAGAAATTAAACTGAGTAGTCAAGAAAATTTGGCCTGAGCTTCACAGACTGCAAGGTGTAGCTTGGAGCTGGAACCCAGGCCTGTCTCCAGGACTGTGCCTTTGACCCTGACACCCTGCTGCCTCCCATCCTTCTCCTTCATGACCCTCCTTGGCTCTGAGCTCCCTTATTCTGAGAGCAGTGCTAGGAACCCTCAGAGCCTTGAAGAACTTTTTGCACAAAGGCCAACCTTCCTGAGATAAGAAAGAACCAGAGAGGGGACTTAATTACTTCAGTGTGGATCGTATTTTAAAACTTACTTTGTAGCAGTTTGGACCAAAACTAAAAAAGTTATGTTAGTGCATGAAAATGTGAAAATGACATTTATAGTAATTGCTTTCTGTTTGCCCAGGTTCTAGCAGTATCTTTCAACACAGAATCATGTTTTCCTTCAAAATATTCACATCTAATTCTATAGAACCGATTTTTATTGGCAAAAATAGTTAACATAGTAAAGGATGAAGGGAAAAATTAAGAGAATTGGTTTGCGGAAAAGAAAATCCAATATACTTCCTGGGCACCAGGTGGAAGGCAGTGTTTTGAAGCACGTTGAGGGGTGTGCAGTGGACATAAATGGAGGTCAGCCAAATGCTTACTTGGAGGAGTAAGAGTGACTTCTTTGTCTTTTACATGTTTATTTTATATTCAAAAAGGAGAAAGCATGCAGGCAGTTAACCATTTATCAGGAGTCAGGGCTCAGCATGGGGTCTGGGCAAGGATTTTGGAAAAGTTCAGGTTTGCAAATTTGACAGCGTGCACTCCGCCAAGTGGGCTTGCCTTTAATAGGAGTTAATGGAATAATCGGCCTGGGACTTTTAACCAAAAAAGTAGATGCTTTGAAGTACTGGAAACAAAAAGAAAACCTCATGGCAGTTTTATTAGCTCAGATGATCAGCAGCAGATGATATATGACAGAGAAGTCTCAGGGCCTTGGCGGTCTGGCAAAATCCTGAACTGAAAATCTCCAATTCAGAGTTCAGCCCAGCAGTGTGAGGCGGAGCCGTCATTTCTGTTAGTGCTGTAGAGTGGATTCCCACTCACAGCGACCCCGTGTGACAGCGGAACTGCTCCGTAGGGCTTCCCTGGCTGTCATCTTTACTGCAGCGGATCACCAGGAAGCCCTGTGAGCCTTCCGTGGAGCTGCGGGTGGGTTAGCAGCTGAGGGCTTAACTGTTGCACCACGTGGGCCCCTGCAGGTAGAAGGAGCAGTAGAAATTGTCAAGTCGGACACTTCTGATGAAACACACAGAAGCTGCTCCAAGTCTGACTGTTAGAGCAGAAAGGGATCTTAAGAGTCTTCTGAAACTGTTCGTTTTGCACGTGGGGAAACTGACTCCGGTCTTCCCCAGAGGGCCTGGAATATACCCGTGCTGCTCGCCCACCCAAAGCTCTCTCCAGCGGTAGCTGTGGGGGGGGTGTCACCCGGAGAGGTACTGCTCTCGCCCCCTCAGCTGAAAGTCCTCCTTCTCCTCACAGCCTGCCTTCAAAGGCCTCACCTTCACAGACCTGCCCTTGTGTTTACAACTGAACATCATGCAGAGGCTGAGTGACGGCCGCGACCTGGTCAGCCTGGGCCAGGCGGCGCCCGACCTGCACACGCTCAGCGAGGACCGGCTGCTGTGGAAGAGGCTCTGCCAGTACCACTTCTCCGAGCGGCAGGTCAGCGGCCCGCGGCCCTTCCTCCTGCTCTCCCTGTCGGCCCCTGTCCCCAAGCTCCCCGTGTACCCTTCTGGAACATGAGGTGTGGGTGCCTGCCCTGCTGGGCTCCAGGTTTCACGAGAAAATGACATTCCAAGGAGATACTAACTAATGTGTGTGTGTGTGTGTGAGTGTGAGTAGTGTGTTTGGATGGTCTTGATAAAGAAAAGGCACATTCACATTTCATAACTTGCTCAAAACAAAATTCATGAATTGGCACCAGTCCTTTTTTTCCTATAACAAAATCACTTACACTTGTATGGTACTTTGCAGTGAAAGGGCTTTTACAGACATTATTTCATTTTATTCTGACAACTCAGAGAGGGGACTTAATTAAAAAGTAGGTGCTGTCATGCCCACTTTAAACAGACGAAGAGACTAAGGTCACAAATCGCTAAGTGACATATCCAAATTGTTGAGTAAATCTCTGGGTGAGGAAACTGGCCTTGAATTTGAACTTGGGCCTTGTGACACCAACTCTAGGCTTGTTTCCATTTGTCATGCTGCCTCAAAGGTTGTTTTGGTTTGGGATTTTTTTTCTCCCCCAGCTTCTTTATATAGACGTGTTAGTTCAACAAGTTCTGTTCGTGGAGCTGCTAATATTTAGATATAAAATGGAGCCGCGGTGCCAAGCAGTTACCACAGCTCCCCGGAAACAATCACTCGCGTCTATAGCAAAGGAAGAATTTAAGTTGTTTTCTGAGATCATCTAAACTTTTTAAAGGCCCATCCAAATACAATTTAGTAGAGGACACTAACAAGATGTCACCAGCACCTCTTTCTTTTAAAGACTGGTTAGAAACTACTCATTAACTGGGGAGAGCCAAGAAAATAAAGGTACTTCTTTATAGCTTGGCTGTTTTTTCCTTTAGTAGAGCAGTGGTTAAAGCATTCAGCTTCTAATCAAAAGGTTGGGAGTTCAAACCCACCAGCTGTGCTGTGGGAGAAAGATGAAGCAGTTTGCCTCCTTAAAGATTGACAGCCTTGGAAACCCTATGGGACAGTTCTACTCTGTCCTCTAGTGTCACTATGAGTCAGCATTAACTCGACAGCAGCAGGCTTATTGCAAGATAGAGGAGAAAATAGAGGTCAGGGGCCGAAATTTTCAGAACCAGAAAACCACAAACCATCTTGTTGGTGAACTCTACTGCAGCTACTTTAATTTGTTTGATTTTTAGATCCGCAAGCGATTAATTTTGTCAGACAAAGGGCAGCTGGATTGGAAGAAGATGTATTTTAAACTTGTCCGATGTTACCCAAGGAAAGAGCAGTATGGAGACACCCTTCAACTTTGCAGACACTGCCACATTCTTTCCTGGAAGGTATGTGTCTCAGAGGTGGCTGCCACAGACCCTTAGCTCAGACCCTGAGAGCCGCCAGGGCCACTGGTTGCATTGCCAACTCCTTTCCCATTAATCCTGATTATAGCCTCCAACTGATTCAGACTCTGCTGAGAGACTCTCAAACCCCTTAATGGATTTCATTCCTGTACGTTTATTTCTTCCTACAACTCGTTGTTGTTGTTGTTAGCTGTCTTTGAGTTGGTGCCCAACTCCTGGAGACCCCATGCAAAGTGTAAAGAAACCCTGCTGGTCCTGTCCCAGCCCTGTGATAGGCTGCAGATCAGACCACCGTGAGCTACTGGGTTTTCATTGGCTGATATGTGGCAGTACGTCACCAGGCCTTTCTTGCTGGTCCATCCTAGTCTGGAAGCTCTGATGAAACCTGCTCAGAACCATAGCATCACACAAGCCTCCGCTGACGGACGGGTGGGAGCCGTACTTGGGGTGCCTTGGCTGGGAATCAAACCCAGGTCTCCCTCGTGGAAGGCAAAAATTCTACTCCTGAGCCACCAATGCCACACCCACTCCCCAGTGCTCCTATTTCTGTGCTGACAGGCAGATGTGTGCACACACACACTCACACGCACACAGCTCTTCAGTTTTTCCAACCCTGCAACATTATTGGTTTTTTTTAAGAGTCTGTGTATATTCTTTTTTTTCTCTCTCTCTCTTTCTCTCTCTCATTTTTTTGAAATTATGCTTCAGATACAAATTTACAGAGCAAAATTTGTTTTACATTCAACAGTTCATGTACATTTGATTTCACACCCCCATTACCATCCCCAATCCTAACCTGCTCTCCTCCCCTCCATTCCTTGTAAACCACCCCCCCCCCGTGCCCTTCTTAGTTATGCACTCCTGTCTGTCCAGCTTTCCCTCCATGTGAATTCTGCCCCTCTGGTGCCCCATGGCCGATTGCTCCAAGGGGTGTATCTCCATAGAGTAGGTGGGTGCATTGCCCTGGGTTGGGGTGCTCTGCATTAAGTCTTTCTACTGTTGGGCTGAGAGCCAATCCTTGGGAGTGAGCCTTATCTCAGGCCCGAAGGGAATCCCAGGGCCATAGTCTTAGGGGGTCCCACCAGACTCTATCCTACCAGTAATTCTTGTCATTATTGTGTTTTTGAATTTTGTTCCACATTTTTCCTCCCACTGTATGCCCTGCGACATTCTTGACCAAGGCATGTTGTTTTGAGGCTGGGCAATGCCTTATGGTGCTAAAAGCCAGCAAAGTGCCCCTGAGAATGCAAACCTAACCACAATGTTCCTTTCCAGGGCACTGACCACCCGTGCACGGCCAATAACCCCGAGAGCTGCTCCATCTCACTTTCACCCCAGGACTTTATCAACTTGTTCAAGTTCTGACTCCCAGCACATGACAGCCATTCAGAATATCCCTGCTGATTGGATAGTTGGGAATACAGAGTTTGGACGCTTCATTTGTAAATAGTGTACATTTATACAAAAACAAAATCAAAAAAACTGCTGTCGAGTCGAATTCCAGCTCATAACGACCCTATAGGACAGGGTAGAACTGTCCCATAGGGTTTCCAAGGCTGTAAATCTTTATGCAAGCAGACTGCTGCATTGTTCTCCCACGGAGCAGCTGGTGGGTTCAAACCACTGACCTTTCGGTCAGCTGCCAAGTGTTTAACCATTGCACCACCAGGGCTTCTCTGTACATTTATACATTGGCTCAAAACTCCTGAGATAAGTCAATAGGAGGACGATGGTGGACAGAGATGCAGTTGCTGATTGGAGTTTAAGAATGTGGACTTCTCAGTAGAACTGGTATGGAAAAGCAGAAATACTGTAAATAAACTTCTTTCCTAATGATTTGCCAGCAAGACGATAAGGGCAAGCATTTGATCTCAGCAGTGAAACTGAGATTCTCTGTATGTTCACTGAAACTCCTTTATAGTTCCCTAAAGATGTGGAAGGAAAAAGCAAGACCCAAACACGAGGTAGAACACTGTTCACGATGTGAATACTTACATAAAAGAAGGCGAACCATGACAGCACACGAGACGTTCCTGGGCTTTTGGGTTTGATTTTGTGTTTGTTCTGAAAAGACAGAGGAAGTGCCACCCATTGTAAACCTGCCTGGCACATAGGGCCTTATCTTACAAAGATCCCACACAATACTCTACCTCGGAAAACATACAGTGCTTTTTCAGACAAGGTACCTTGTCTAGTAGGAAGTGTCCGTTTGGCTTGTGAGTTTTTCACCACTCTAAAAAGTGATTGCAAGTGGAAAGAGATGTTGGAAGCAGTCCTCATCTTGTTTCAGACTTTTTGAGGGGAAGAGGGCCCTCTTTGGAGTTGCATCTTTCCTAGAGCAAACCCCAAAGCCCAGGCCTTTTTCTCTTTCGTATTTCTTATAGCTCATTTGGGGAAACTTAAGGACAATTAAAGACAGTCCCAAAGGACATCTTGCTGCAGAAAAGAATTTGTCACCCCTGAAGCTGTGAAGATGTCCTTATCCCTGTTTAACTTCCTGGTTTGTCTGGGCTTCCTTGGCATCTTCACGGGTCAGCGTGTCTCAGTCGACTGGTTGGAGCCCAGGTGCTGATAAAGGCTGATGAGACAGGTTTTACTATCAGCCAATTAAGCCTTTCACCAGCTGCTGTTGCCCTTGGTGAGATGATGAGCTCAGCAGCTTTCTTTTGTTTATGTCCAACATCAGAATTTAGCTAGGGCTTCTTATAGGAGGGATAAAATAAAGCCTGGAGGTCCAGCCAAATAGGGAGAGAAGGTACATGAGTTTATCCTCAACTTGCTTGAGAGTTGGGTACTTAAGATCTGCCCCAGGGGATCTTGGGAGGTAAAGGATGAACATCTCAGGACTTGATGAGTTAATTATCATGTATTTCTGAGAGAGTGGGAAACGTTTTTGTTTTTTACTTTTTATAGAACATAGCTTTTTTACAACAATGTACATATTTTATGCTGTTGTTTTTTTTTTTTTTTTCTTTTTTATTTGGGAGGCCAGGGAGAAGGGGGACAAAAAAAATGTTGCCACCCTACATTCCCTTGGCAACTACATGAAGGAGAAGTAGGAACATGATTCACATTCATGCTGCAGAACAGTGTGTCTTTAGGAGTTGAACCTTGAATTGGAGCGATCAGGAAGAGGGGGAAGATGATTAAGGAGGTACAGAAACAAGGCCAGGGACAAGCTGGGGGTGCAGTACTCTTTTCATACCTTCCCCCTCAATTACACATAACCCAAGTACCAGCATTCAGAAAGGAAGTGAATCCCAATTCAGGTCTCCTCACTTTGCAACTTTTATACCTAGACCAGTGTTCTCAATCTTTTTTTCATTATTAGCGCCAAAAGAAGAAAAAGTAAACTGAAATTAAATTCCAATGGGATACATTAAGTATTAAAAGATTTTGTCAAGTAGGGCTGACTTTTGGAGGGCCACAGACCATCATAATATCTAAGATGTTTTTGTCCCCTCAAGAACCAATTTCACATTAAGAATGCATGGCCTAGAATATTGAATAAAAACCTAGCTCTTTCATAATTCAGCCATGTTCTCTCAAACGTCTCAGCGTCCTTAAGGGTGTGGGGTAGAGCTAGTTCTGTCATTGGTGTCAGAGCTCGGGGACATTCAACTCTGAGTGACACTTTTAGTTTTAGGAGTTCATTGGCCTTCCTTCCACGTTTTCCACCATCTGTGACCTCTGCCCCTTCTTGCTGATCAGGTATGTGAATTCATGGCACTTTCAGGTCTGCAGTCCCCCAAGCGTTGCCTGCTTTGGACAGTCACCACTAAACTAGTGGAGCTGCCTCATTTGCGTGGTCAGCAATGCAGGTGATCTCACAGTACAGGCAACAGTGCAAGTTTGTGCAGCCGATCCCTACGCCCAAGGATAGCAGTTGTGGTAGAGCTGATTCCGACCCTGGCGACCCCAAGTGTTTCAGAGTAGAACTGCCCTCCATAAGGTTTTCGTAGCTGCAACCCTTTAGGAGTACAACACTAGCCTTTTTCCCAAGGTGCCTCTGAGTGGACTCAAACCACCAACCTTGGAGTCAGTCAGTAGCTGAATGCTTAACTGCACCCCCAGAGACTCCCACCCCCAAGTGATGGGATGGCGGTTCCCAAAACATTTACCAAGATGGTGCCTTTGGGGTCTCCCCAGCTGCTGTAGGGTCACTAGAGGTGGCATAGCACAGAGACAAAGAAACATTTTAAGGAAAAATAAGAAGAAACCAACCTTTGTGGTCCTTTTCATTGAAGGGGAGAATAAAGAAGGAAATGGCAGGTGGAGAGGGAGAGGGGAAGGAGTAGAAATGACATATCTCTGATGTGGTTTGTGTGGAGACAATGGGGAAGGTCACAATAGCACAGAGTATCAGTATCTGTGTCAGCACCATGTGGTGCCTGTAAGTGTGGCCAGAGCCTCGCCTGTAAGTGAATTAAAAAGGCAAAACTCTTGCTCCCTGGGCACTAAGAGTCTCTAGAATTCTCCTGGCAAACTTTCCTAGGGTGATCTGACCTAAAACACAAAAACAAAACTCCCTGTCTGAAAACTGCTGGACTAAAAGCCAGAAGGATCATGACGATGGACATCGCTGGGAGAGAGAGAATGTTCTGATCTCCTTACTGTCCCCACCTAACCCCATCCCAAACCTGAGAAATCAGAATTTGAAATGGATGTCAAATGTGAAGTAATTCAGACTTCCAGAGAAGGAAGAGTTCTGTCCAGGGCAGGGTGGGCGGATCTACAGGGACCTTACGGTTTGGTCCAACTCCCAGTCCTGAGCAATGAGCCTAGTCTCTTGAGAGGAAGGCCCAGCCTTTGGGGAAAGGAGAATATGTGAGGTTTAGGAGTGCTCACTTTATAGCAACATCTAGAAAAAAAGTCCAATGATATTTTTAAAAGATCGCATTATTATTCAACCTCGTTACTTGTGACTAGGAGGGTAGCAGAGGGTACCTGAAGTACAAGGTTTTTTTAAAAAAAAAAAAAAAGTCTCGAGTCTGTCAGTTCTGAGATGACATTTGTTTCGTGATGATCAATTTTATACTGACGTGGCTTGGTGACCAGAGGAGATACTTAGATGCATTGGGGTTACACTGCAAAGCTGAACCCAAGAGCGGGCTTCGTCTGTGGTTGTGAAGTCAGGGTTTGGGTGTGGATTGTGTTACTGCCATCGCTCTCATCTTTGTGGATCTCCAAACCATTTCTCCTGAGGAGAAGAGGCTCCTTGTTCTGGGGTTTTTATATGGGAGGAAAGAAAGAGTTTGGAATTTCATTTCATTTGTCTAAGCAAGTGGTGTGATTTACAAGGAGATAAATCCCTCCACGAGATGTTCTGCAGTATAAAATTCTTAAGTGTTCAATACCATGTTTATTATAAAATATGCACCTGAGTTTATATTTTTCTGCCAGGCTGTAGGGCAATAATGTCTAGCTACGCAAATACTATCTTTTATGTGTGAATTTTTCTAATTGTAATTTTATGCGTGACTTTTTTTTTTTCTAAACTAAACTATATCATTGTTTTATATGTTGACATCTGTTGTTTTTTATCTGTTTCCAAGTATCTGAGTCTGTGAACCATCCCTCCTGACTGGATGCTGGCCTAAAATTCTATTAGTGTTTAAACAGACCTCGGAAACACTCTGAACCTCCAGGCAAATGTAGAGACGTGGCTCTTTGATATATCATGTGCTGCTGATGTCTTTAACTAGCAAGATCACAGTCCCCTGAAACTTACATTTTCTGTGGATCCTTTCTTCTCTGTTAAGGAGAGTAAGAACAGGGTGGTTTTCCAAGGGAACACTTCACACCTGAGAAAAGGATATTACAGATGGTAGAGTCTGAGCCCCCCACTGCCTCTCAAGTTGAGAAAACATCTAGAATGTTTAGCGGACTTGCCTTAGCCGCCTTATGCAGAGGCTAGAGGTAAACCTGGGGCCTCCTGACGCCCCCCACTCCCACACCCTTTGGCATGGTTGGAGACATGTGAAGCCCGGATGTAATTCTTTTCTCCCCCCAGCCCCACACCAAGGGTTTATTACTGACATAATGAGGCTTTTAGGGGGAGGACCTGGATGTGGGGTTCTCTCTTCTCGAGACCTGCATTGTTGAGGGTACTTGTGACTGCTCTTTGGGGGCCTGGCCGCTAACTTCTCCAAACCTTGGAAGTCCCTCATTCTTACTGGGAAAGCTAAGGAGATACTTAACTTTTTTACACTCATCTGACGCTGTTGTGAGCACACATTTTATCGAGCACAACCTGTTGCCATAAAGTTAGCAGTGTCCATTGACAGATTCATTTTTCCCCGGGGTACTTACTTTTTCACTACAAACATGATTCTAATAAAGATAAGGCCTGAGCAGCTAGCTTA